GGGAAGAATTTCAGCTGTAAAAATGAATGTTCTTCCTAAATTTCTTTTCTTGTTTCAAATGATTCCTATCTTAAAAAAAGATGCTAACTTGGAGGGATGGCAAAAGGGTATTAACAAATTTATTTGGGCGGGTAAGAAACCAAGAGTTAGGTTTAAGATTATGCAGGATATGAGAGAACGTGGAGGGCTTAAAGTCCCTAATTTAAAATTATATTATGATGCGGTGGTTTTGACATGGATTAGTGATTGGTTAAACTTGACAAATAGAAATATACTTTCTCTTGAAGNGACAATTTGGATTAGGAATGTAAAATTTACTCAAGCTCAGAATTTAAGAGAAAATTTTTACAAAATGTTTTATAGGTGGCATTTGGATCCTCAAAAATTGTCCCGCATGTATTCTAACTTACAACCTAAATGTTGGAGATGTGGAAATTTAGATGCAACTTATTTTCATGTGTGGTGGACTTGTAGGGTGGTTAAAGCATTTTGGATAAAGATATGGTGGAATATTCAAAATATTTTTAAGAAAAAGATAAAGTTTAAACCTCAGTTATTTCTGTTGGGCATTATGGAAAATTTGGATAAAAAAGAAATGGAATTGATGTTGAATTTGATAACTGCTGCAAGATTACTAGTAGCCCAACGTTGGAAAATGGAATGTTTGCCCACTATAGAAGATTGGGTATTTAAAGTTTCAAATTTAGCAGAAATGGCTAAGATTTCAGCCTATGTGAAGGATTACTCACAAGAAAGATATATCTTGGTGTGGAGAAGATGGATAGATTATATTGAGAATAAATATGGAATTAAAAAGTTTCATTTGGTTTTTGAGTAAATTTTAGATTGTTAATGTAGTTTATTTATTTTTTTTAATTAGTAATAATAATGTTTACTATGTTTGTTTAGAAGAGAGCTAAAGGATGTTATAGAATTGTTAACTTAAGGGTGATATAATTTAAGACAGAGTATAATTATTGTATTGTTAACCCTGAGTGTGGCTCTGGGAAGTCGGGTGGGGGAGGGAGGGGGGTGGGGGAGGGTGGATTTTGGGGAGGAGGGGAGTTATATTGTAAAACTTTTAAAAATTTTCAATAAAAAAAAAAAAACATTCAGAAACCTAAACAAGTCTGAGCAGGTTTATAAATGGACATTTTGGGATGGAACAAGCAGTGAGTATGCACCTGAGATCTGAATGCTTTGCAAGTAGTCCAGGCAAGTAGCACACCCAGAAATACTAACTATAACTTTATTGTAAGACTACATTAACAGAAACTTGCAAGTTTGAAAGTACATCTCTTCCCCCTCACGTTGACAGTCCAAGAAACTAGGGAGGGTCCCTTCTGAGACATTTGTCACTCCCCCATTCTTCCTGTGGGCTCAGCTGCCTTTTATCTGCTCATAACCTAGTCTGCAGCTCTTCTTCCTGACTTCCGAAGTCATTTCCACATATCATTACAGTCTGGGTGCTGCTTATTTTGTTTATTATTCCTAGAATTTATTATGATGCGTATGTATTTTTGATGTTTGAAGTGTTGTTGTTATATAGCTTTTATAAGCCACTTAGTTTCATTTGATTAAGCAGCATATAATCGCTTGTAATAAATAAGAAATGTGACTATTACAAAAATCTTCATGGTTGTATGTGCATATATGCATGTGTACACACACACACACACCATTTCTGAGGTCTGCACCTACCCAGATCAGTGACATGCTTATAGTGGCAACAATTCAGCAGATTCCTGGCACTATCTGCATATTGCTGCTACAGCACCTGCCTTTGGAATTTCATTCCCCCCCCCACCCCCAAGATGAGACTTGCTCTGACCTCGCTGGCCTTTCATAAGGCATTAAAAACCTGGCTTTGCATCAAGCCTGGAGCCCTGATAGTATGGGCGAGCTTGTTGTCTGTTTATATTGATTGTATGGTGTTTTAGATTATTCTCAGCTGCTATTTTATGCTGTCTTATGTTTTAGCACTAGCTGTTTTTCAGTTTGTTCTTATTTTAATTGTTAGCTGCCCATAGTTGTGTATGAGTTGGGTGGCCATATAAATTTATTAAATAAATAAATATGGACATCTTAAGACTGTTTCTCTGATAACAGCATGGAAATGGTCTGCTATTGCCCCCTTGTTCTGGGAGTTGTTTGCCTCCCTAATCCAAACTGTGTATTGGAGTTCTCTGTGAGTCTCTCATCCAAGTAATGTACATCTTCAGGCCAACCCTGCTTAGTTTTCAATCCTGGACAAAATCACGCAGCTATGTCCTTGCTAAGAGATTGGACACAGTCATGGCTGGAGTGGGTCTTAACAAGTAAGCAAAATCAATGGGGAAGCCGGTAGAAGGTTGCAAATGGCGACTGCATTATATTCTTGCTTAAGGACCCACAATGATTCGCTTAACTATGGCAAGCAGGAATTGCCGTTGTTAAATGGTGCAGTCAATAATGTCACACTTTATAATGACTTTGCTTAGCGATGGCCATCATTGATGGAGAACTACCTATACAGGCATAATCTTGTATGTGTACTCAGTGGGGCCTGTAATGGTGTTGTTGGTATAGATGTGGGGACAAAGTAGAAATTTTGGTTTGTTGCAGGGGGTTCTATCTTGGGGGACTACAAGAGGTGGTGATGGCTACTGCCTTGGCTGGCTTCAAAATAGGATTGGATCAATTCATGGAAGTCATGAGGATCAGTAGCTATTAGCCTTGATGGCAGTGACTTCCTCTGAAACCCATCTGCTCAGAGATTAGTAGGCTTCCTGTGCAGTGGTTGGCTACTGTGAGAACAGACTAGATAGGCCAGGGCTTCCAATTCAGGATGTTGTTGATGTTCTTATGGACACTTTAATTAGACATCTCTCAAACCTGCAGCCAGCCCTGAAGACAGCAATTGTGTTTTCAGGTCACCATGAGAACAGAGACACTGAGAAAGAAACTTGCCTGTGCCTATCTAGGAAACTCATAGCTATACAAGGATTTGGACCTAATTCCATAGCTGTGCGTAAAAAAAAATAACATGCTTAGTAGATCTCATTTATTATATCACTTAGCCTGAAAATAATATGGTCTCTTTTGGGATTAGATGCTTTTATCTGGTTTCACATTAATATTTCTTCATTTTGTTTTTTGCCATTTACTAGAACTCAAACGAAGGACACTGTGAAGCAAGACAGATTGGTAAAACAGAACTTTATTAAAATAGATTTTGAAAAGATGTGGGAAATCCTTCACCGAGCAGTGGTGGCAGTGTATTCTGCCGATTTTTCCAAGCAACTGCCCACCCATCCCCGTGCTACACCCAGAAGGTGCCATGCAGCTGACCAGCAACTGTGCAGCAGAGACAATAACAATTATCAGCACTAGGAAGAGTAGCAGGGAAAGTGAGAAAAAGACAACCTTTCCTAATCTGGAACCCTTCAGATGTATTAGACTACAATTCCCATCTTTAAAATGAGAATAATGCTCAACATAGTTGCATCTCACTGATCGAGTAATGGAAATATAAGGGATCTCCAATTGTTTTTTGGAGGACATGGGAGGTATTATCATCCCCTTGGGCAGAACAGTGTGGAATAATCACCATCTGCCAAGCAGCTGCAACAACTGTTATTGAGCATGGTGGGCGAGTCAAGAAAGTGAAGCTGCAATTGTGAGGAATCCACATTGTGAATTTAAACTAGAACAAAGTTAGCAGTAAGTCATGGTTTGCTATATGTTACTATATGTTGGGAAATGTAGTTTTGAAAATCTTTATTCATTGGAAGTAACTACAGAGGAATAAGATTGACATTTATTTCTCTTGCAATGAAAATATAACCCTAAGACAACAATGGAATAGGGACTCAGCTCTGCTGAACCCCCCCCCCCCAGCATGCAAATGGCTCCACATTCAACTAGGGTGTGTCTATTGGGAAAAAATGATCAAGGCTCAGAACTGATGAAACTTTGTTTAAAATGTTTTCACATTGAGCTCCAGAAATACTGTAGGATAATACCCTGGAAAGCAACAACAATTGACTCTAGGGAGTGGATGTATTTGAGCTGGAATGTTATTGCTTGTTTCTGATGCCTAAGCTCAGAAGAAAGTGCTGTGGATCATGTGTAGTTTATTTTTCTTCAACCAACCTTCCCTATGAAGTGAACATATGAAGCTGAGCATGGATCTGGACCATAATTCAGCCTTTCTAATGACACATGTCTCCTCAAAGCCTTGGAACAAGATCCTTCCAATGTTAGCTGAAAGTTCTTCTCCATCAAAGGCCATACCTTGAGACCAGATTCTTATTTACTTTTATGACAAGGTTTATTGATTATAGCTCAATCAGAAGGTGTCAAAACTGCCTATAAAAGACAACCCTAAGATTTTGAGTTATGTCCTATTTGCTTGATTTCTGGTCTTCAAATATAGTATTAGCTACCATAATGATTAATTAGTCATTTTTCTGACTATTCAAGTCCTTAATTTGCAAATATAATTTTAAACTTCTCTTATTAAAACTCCCACCATCAAAACCACCTCTCTTGGTCAAATGTGCCTTCTTCAGCTCACAGTGTATGGGTTATTTCCCAAGATGGAGCAATTTTTTTTGGAAATGGCATCTAACTTTTTTTCTTAAAGAATCAGCAGCAAAGGAAAGATCCTTATCTGACGGATTTCAAGGATTCCAAATTCATAAAAGAACCTTGGCAAAGCAAGCTGTGATCAAAATCCCAAGAGCTCATTCCTAGAGAAGATGCTCAGTTAGTAACTGAACCGGTGAATGGCATCAGACCAACTGAAAAAGTGATGGGGTTTTATTTTTACCCTTATTTGTCCCTCCCCAATCTATGCTGCACACTCACATCATAGAACCAGAACTATGTTATGACAACTAACAAACCTGATTCTGGGAAAGTCCAAGAAAGAGGTTGGGAAATGGAGAGTATGAGGTTAGAGCCCCCCCCCCCCAGATCTAGCCCCACTGCAGGAATATCAGGAATGCTTCCTTAGGTCAGACTTCACTGGTGACCGACCGGGAGGGAATGAGGACATCTGGGGTAGAGGGAAAGAGACATAGTTGAGAATCAAGTGGCCTCTGTGAACACAGCTCTGTGATTCTGAAATAGAGAAAGGGAGGGGAGAAGGGAGTGAATAAGTCAGAATGGACTTAAAAAACAGGAACAAAGTCTGCAGATCAAAATTAAATTCACAGAGTATCCGAACTCAAGCTTTAGAATTCTTCAACAAAGCCTTGCAGCTGAGTCCCAGCAAACAGAGGAAAGCCAACTGTCACCTCTTTCCACCTTTAACTTCTTAGGCAAAAACAAACATCACCAGTCTTTAAAATATTCTCTTTTTATGTTTATGGTTCTATGTGTGTGTTTTAAAAGAGCAGATGTCTAGTATTCATGACTGTAAGCCAAGGCATTTAACTTTTCATTGCATGGGCAAGGCTTTTTGCTGATGAGTTTGAATTATTGGGTTCAAGAGAGGATTTCCTTGTCTCTTCTTATACCGCTTAACTATATATCTCACTTAAAAAAAGATTTGAACAATGGAAAAGTGTACCCTGGTGTAAACAAAACCAGTGAGCAGAACAGCACAGCAACACAGAAAGCAAAGACTTACATCGCAATCCTATGTGTGTTTATTCAGAAGCAAGTTCCATTTTGTTCAGTGGGACTTATGCCCCTGAAAATGTGCACAGGACTGCAACCTAAATGTGGAAATTAAGCTGTCAGTGCAAATTTTCCCAGCAGGCACAAGTCATTATCATCTCAGAACCTCCATACCTACTAGCAATAGCTAGGATATTTTGCACAGAACTATTCATACAAGTACATTAAAACCAGTGGATTCCTATGAAATGTGTGCCTGTTTACAAGGGTCCAATCAGCCATTGGTGGGCTATGAAATGTACTAGTTTCAGGTTGGTGGTTGAGCAGTGAGAGGGGGGCCTTCTGGCAGTGGAGTGGGAGGGCGGGTGGAGAGAAAGGGATGTTGATCCCCTACACTGCTTTTTCTTCTGTGTAGATTTTCATTGCTTAAACCAAATGCCGAAGAATGGCTGGCACTCCTGCTTTTATGATGTCCCCTCTGCCTTAAAGGATTAAAGGGAAAGGATGATGTGGCCAGAGCAAGAGGACATCTTCAATCTGGGGAATGAGAGGAAAGTGGTGCCAAATAGACTGCATAGAATCACAGAATATATGAAATGTTGCCAGATTTCTTGCTATATGCATTTTCTCAGGGAAGAGTGCCTCCTTCATTAACATTTTAACATTTTATTTATAACTACAAACTTCATTTCTGTTTTGCCCAATTGGCAAAACTCTGTGACAGTTCATACCAGAGGTAAAACAGTAAAACAAAATGATAAACTCTAAAATGAATTAAAATCATAAAATAAGAGCACAGTAAAATTAAGAGCAGAAGACAATACATTGGTATCCAAACAAACAGGTCTCTGATGGATTTGCATTTCTGGAACCAATACTCTTACAGCATTAAATGCATTAAATGAAATACTGTAGTAGCAGGCATAAACTGGACACTATCTAAGAACTTTTGGGACATGTCAAATTGCAATCTGGCTCAATTACAGTATCAGGAAGACCAGGAATCATTGCTTCTAACAAGGCACAATATTTTCTTATTGTATCAAAGAGACTGGGACAACTTAAATGACCAATAACACTGCAGAGAAACTTTTATATTATGCTACTTCAGGGGACAATTTTAATTCATCCCATTTTCATTCTTCATTGTAACTAGTTAGCTGCACCTAACTCTTTCCTATTTAAAATGCACCTCAAGAAAAGGAAAGTACTATAGGCATGTCCCGTAAATAGCTCGCTGATATTTCACTAAAAAGTTTGTCTAGTCCTAAGTAGGATCTTCCACATATAAAGCATATATGTTCTCCAAAGGCTCTAAGCACACAGCAGCAATAGTTGCCCTAAATATCTGAAGGACATCATCCAGTCGCACTGTGGTGAAAAAATGTGTCAGAGCACATCACTACATTAATACTGGGTAATGCTATTTATTTGTAGCGTGGCTAGTATGAATTCAAAAAGGTCATGCTTTTTGCAGGTGAAACATTTCTGTTTGATTTTGAATACTCTATACCACCCTCCATTTCCCTTCCTATATTTAAATGGAGTCGGTATCTGCAACTCCCAAAGTTTCTGCTTGAACATCAGGATATCTGATCCAATTCTTCTGCACCATGACTTTTTGCCTGCCTCCGATGTCCAACCATATGCCAATCTGAAATATCCTTTCCTTCTCCTTTCTTTTCTCGGATAGTTATTGCCTCTGCCGACCCTCTGTGCCAACTTAGTCTCCCCTGAGATTAAGCAAGGGGTCAAGTTAGACAGTTCTGGGGAAAGGCACTTACTCATAGGGACGGGTCATTGCTGCGCTGCCAGGTGCTGCCAACTGTAGAGATCGTGCTAGCTGCCTTTCCAGACCTCTTGAAAGTAGTGTAGAAAACTCCGGTTCTTCTGGGGCGTCCCTCACCTGCTGCAACCCCTCCCCACCCAAGGGGACAGCACCAGGGCAGGGCAGTAGAGGGGGAAGACACGGTTAAATAGGAGAGAATGAGACAGAGATTAATATCATTAGATATTTACTATTCACACCCAAGTGGAAAGGGGACAGAAATAAGTTGAGAACTTGTTTTCTTTAGAGAGAAATGTTAGAGCATTGGAATATTTGCAGTTGGGGAGAACTGAGTTTTCAGAGATAACAGAGTAAGAACTTGCATGTTAAAAGGCTTCATAAAGCCTCCATGTATATTAGTTCATCATTTTATATACACACACACAGAAAATTTGTTATAGGAAAAGGATCTATCAGTCTACATTGAATCTGAAAGCTCCATACGATTTTCATAAAGTTATCACTGATTGAACCCAAAAGTGCAGAGGCTTAAACATCTATGACAGGGAAAAGCAACATGTGGAGGAAATAGTTTGGGAGATAATTAAAGAACAACCTAGTGTGAAGGGCTAGTCTGAGCATCTCTCCACAGTATTTTGTGCTAATAGGATCTTGGTCAGCCCAGCCTTCTCTTTCTCTTCCTTCTGTCAGAAATTGACTCTCCCTACTGCTGCATCTGCTCTTTTGATCCTTCATGTTCTTTCATTCTGCTAACTGTTTTCAGCAGAATAAATACAAAATACCTAGGCCCAAAGACTGTTCTTTTCCTGCACCCATTCCCTTACTTGCCTGGTAACAACTCCTTCTATGCATCAATTTCAGCACTAACTCCACGGTTTAAAAATTCTCTTGCCTTGAGATGGGGAGCAGGATGAACACAGAGGTCTTCTAACAGAGGTCACGGTCAGAGATGTCCTATTGAATCTTGCACTGAGCCAAGCATTTCTAAAGCCTCTATGATTTTATGATTTATACAACAAAGGGTTTTTTTTTTAAAGAAAAACAAATAGGCTAGAATGTTTTCAAAAGAGGGAAGCTCTTGCTAGACACCAGTAGAAAGAACATTCTAAGGACGAAGCTCAAGAGACCCAGTCTGGTGTTGCGGTTAAGGCATCAGGCTAGAAACCAGGGGACTGAGAGTTCTAGTCCTGCCTGAGGCACAAAGCCAGTTGGGTGATCTTGGGCTAGTCACTCTTTCTCTCTCAGCTCTAGGAAGAGGCAATAGCAAACCACTTCTGAAAACCTTGCCATGAAAACTGCAATTAGTTGTCTAGGGCCTAGGCAGTTGTTAGGAATCAAAAGGCTGACTCGAAGGCATACACACAAAAAATGGAGAGGGGAGAACTTAGGAGCAGCTGAATGGAAAAAGTAAAAAGCCTAAGATGCCACATGAGGGCAGATGATTAGAATTCACTGGAGCAAAGAAATTACAAGAGTTCTTCTGGATAGTAAGGTAGAAATCAAAAGTTTCTCTGAAAGATTAAGTGGGAGCCTTGTACAAGAAAATACAAAAATAAATTACACAATCATATTTTTGTTCATTCACAGGACTTGGTGTTCAAAAGCTTATAATCCTTAATGTAATTGTCCACTTTAAAGCTCATAAAACAGGGGACTAGCCTCCTGTGTGACTGTTGGCATTTATCTGTGAATGGTGAGATTCATCAAGCTTTAGATATGTCCCTGTGACAAAACAGTGATCCAATCGCAGTGGAACAATGGCTACTCAGTCTTTCCCCAGAGATCTGTGCAGTGACATAACAGCAACACCTGGTTTTCATTAGCAACTTATGATGGGCATCCAAATATGAGCCACCTGACTTTCTAGCTTTTCCCCCTTTGAGTTCCCTATCTGCTCCCTCCCTTCTGATGCCTAATCTGGAACAGCTTCACATTTGTTTGTTTGTTTAATTCAATTTGTATGGCCGCTCAACTCAAACAAGTGAGTCTAGACGGCAATGCTCCCTTCAAACCTAGTGCTTATCAGCAACCCTTTCCTTGAGCAAGTTTTGTTTCATTGATTTCTTCTTACTATTGTGTCTTCACCTAAGATTATGTTCTCTATAAGAGATGGCAGAAGCTACTAAAATTACCCTCAATTAATTATTTAGTACAATAACACTATGTTACTAAATACTACTTGAGCCACAGTATGTGGGGTTTACTGGAAATCTCCTAGCTAGGGATGGAGAAGCTCCCATAAGAGCTCAGCTGATAATCCTCTCCCTGGTGGCTGGAAGAACAGAGTTAAGCAGCTTTGTCCTTCATCCCATACAGTGGAGTAATAATTTAGTGTGTCTTAGTGAGTCTTCTTTCCCTATGAGCATTAACTAGGATCTCCCTATTCTCTCTTCAGATCCTATTTTGCTTGTTGAGACTTTTACTTTGTTACCCAGGAGTGCTTGTGCTCACGTTTTAGAAATATTCCTCATTTATATTAAAGGGAGTCTTTTCAAATAATCTCCTATCTACGTTCAGCCGCACCTCACTCTTACTATAAAACTATTCTGAAAAATTGTCAAATTCAGCTCCTGCATAGAGAGAAAGAAAATCCAGTGATACTAATGCTTTGTGTGTTATATCTTTGTAAATGAGGAAACAAGATTCTGGTGTCTGAAGAGAAGAAGGTGTGCTGGGAGAGGATCAGCCCCAATGCCAAATGCAGGCATCTTAATTGAGCTTTCTGTTCATGATTGCCCTGCCTGGCACAAGTCCTAATAGTTAGATTAAATCTCATATGTTTGAAAATAGAAATTCTCAGGAGAACAGAGAGAAATTTAAATGGCAGCTGGACCAACCTATTCTCCTGTTGTCCCAAATATTGCATGTGAACCCATTGGAGAGGTAAAAGAAGCCCACTAAAATGCATTTTGCCTATTGCATCCTCAAATATGGTACTAACTGTGCATGCATATATGTGGGTAGGTGCTTTAGGTTAAAGAGAAAACTGAAGAAGGGGAGGAAGCATGCAGGGGTGCATCAGGAATATCTCTTACTTGAGCCACACTTAATTTGTCAAGGGAACTGTCAACACAGGGCAATCCCAAGATTGGGATACTGGGTAGATTTTCAGGTGGAGAAACTTTCTTGGCTGAGGATATGGGGCTTTGGAAATTGTTGACCACACACGTCACCTGTTCAACAAAGAGAAGAAGAGCAGCATTAAAGGGCTCTTTTCCTGTTTTCTGCCAACATAGTGCTTTGTATCAGAAGAAACATTAAACAGAGCTTTGCAACTGATAAACCCATTAACATAGTCTCTTATTCTGCCTTTTCCATTCCTTTTGCCAGCTGCTTCTTGATCAAGCCCTGATTTTTCTTCATCATTGACCCATTTGTCTTGTTTTGAGCATGAGCCATTAGGGCAGGGCTCACTTTGGTATTCACTGGCATGGAGGCATAAGCTGGGCATGACAGAGGAACCATGAGCTGCCTTTTTACTGAAATGCAAAAAGGAATGGGGGCAGGATGTCCATCTGAGCAGAGGAAAGTGACTGCCTGAACCTCTCAGCCATACAAAAGGAGGTAGAAAGTTATTTTGTGTTTTAATAGGAACCAAGCTAGTTTACATTTCTCTGTTATCCCAACCCAGAATAGCTACTTCTCCAAACTGTATTATGCTATTCTCTGTAAATAAAATTTTAAAGCCTACGCACAAATGTATATAAAGAAAATTGCTTACAAATATGAAGACAATTAGAGAAAATTATTTGCAAAATATATACACCACAGAAAATATCTACAGTACAATCTTTGAATAAGGGCTGTGAGACAGAGTGCAAATATGCTTTAAAGAATGCAGTCGTCAGTTCCCGTCCCACCTATTAAGGAACAGATAGAGAGTATGTGTTTTTTCTTCTACAGAGGAGGAAGAGCAGGAGAGCATGGACAAAGAGATATTTGGAAAAAAGAGCTATGCCACTCGAGATAGCTTCAATCAAATAAGAAATGGCCTCATTCATATCTGCATTTGGGGAAACTATAACACAGTCATCAACACATCACAAACTAATACAATAAGGTAAGCTGCTCCCCAAGATCCTTATCTGACCTTTGTTTTAACCCTTTAATGCTGATAAAGGAATAGTTTTAGAAACTTCCTGATGACATACACTATTTAAAAAGGGGGCTCTACCCTGCAAAACCTGGTAAAGAAGCTCCTACAGCATTGCCACTATATGTGCAATGATGAATGGAACTGCTTCTCCTTCCCAGAATACTCCTGATGGTGGCTAAATCCTAAGAAGGAAGCCCTGCCCTTTTCCCTACCAGTCAATACCCCCCCTCAAAGCGGGAGTCAAGCAGTCCCCAAACACAGAACACTTACCAGAAAGATGGCAATGGCCCCTCCGGTGAGGAACCCAGCCAGAACATCAGACCAATGGTTCCGGTACTCAGCCACACGCACCACACCCACCAAAAATGCTGGGCCCAGGAGTGCCAGGCACAGGGATGGCTTGGCCAAGCGGGAGCCCTTCAGCTGAAAAACCAGCGTGACATACATCTGTGGGAAGGGAAGAACAGCGTAGGAAAGTTACCTGAGATGCCTTTCATCTTCCTTGAAAATTGTTCAAAATATTGGACAGCATAACCATGCATATATAACCAAGGAATAACTCTTTTTAAAATAAGGAAAAAAGGCAGATAGAAGACTACCCAATCTGGCATAGTGGTTAAAGAATCAGGATAAAAACTGGGAGACTGTGAGTTCTAGTTCTGCCTGAAGCATGATGTCAGTTGGGTGAGCTTGGTTCAATCCCTCTTCCTTAGCCTTAGGAAGGAGGCAAAGGCAAAGTACTTTTGAAGTTTTGAAGGAGGCAAACTACTTTTGAAGACCCAGCTGTGAGGCAGCTCAAATGAGAGGTGACCCAGGTATTACCGAGACCTGGTTGGGCATGGAAGGGGGC